ATTGCCTTTTCCAACCCCCCCCACTTGACAGCCCACTTTACCTATCCCCCCTCCCAAAACATCGGTGAACGAAACTGCGGCAGCTACAACCACTGTACGACGAGCACGCGGTTATTACAGCTGACAATGATGATGATGATATGTCCGTTTCACATTTGTTGGAAACCAACAGCAATGAATAACTCACGAATACCTGGGAAGGTCTGAACCGAGGAATTCTTGTTTGAAAACCAAATCACATAACAGTTGACCACATAGCGGTTAGTCAAACTTGAAACTAGTTCACCCGTTTGGTAGAGAACCGCTTAAAACATTCAAAAATACGCTAAACAAATCCGTCCATTCTAATAGTAACAGAAGTGTATTCATTCGACCGGCTTGTTTTTCACTTTATCACCATACCAAATGCGGCGTAACAGTTAAGTTTCTACAAACAATAATCACGATGGATGGCTACTGGTGTGACGGCGGATACTACTTGTAAGGCAAGCGAGTAGTATGTGGTCTTCTCGTAACTCCGCCTTGCATCGAATCGAAGTTGGTGCACCTTATGGGGTGTATTCCGGAACCTGTGGAACTGCGTTGCACCGTTCGTTTACAATTGCGTGATTGTCAATTATTATCTACGCAAGTTCATAAAGACGCGTGAAGATGTTCAATGTTTGTAACTAAGATGCATATGAGATGTTCACTTTCCTGTCGAATAGTTATTAAGCATTTAGTTGGCGTTTATTGATTAACGACTCCGCGTGAGTGGCTTTCCTCCTTACACCAATGGGGTCTGCAGGATTACCTCAGTTTCACATTATATGTGAGAGTTCCACTTCTTTCGCCTAGTTGACTGTGACGTCGAACAAAAAATATCATTTTCTGGTTGTTCAGGATTTAAAGGTGGTCTTTTCTTGGAACGTGGCCGTGTGAAGAAACCAAACGCAGAACGCTTTGGTGTTGACCCGCCAGATTATTACAGCCCAAGTGATCTATACGTCGGTGCTGAAGTTATTTTCAACAGTTTCAAATTTATCGTCTTGGATGCTGACGAATACGCGTACAAATACATGGAAGAACACTCGGCCGAATTCCCCTATTCCAACATAAAGAAGATACATGACAAGCTTCGTCCGTTTGCCAAAGAACGCTGTGAAGAACTCAACGCTTTTGGAAAAAACCAGGACCCAGACGGAACAGGAACGTTTGGTTTCCAGCAACTTGAATGTTTGATATATCAGCTGACGGGACCGCAGCATGCACTGAATAAACAAGAGCTACTTACGCTGGGAAGGTATCACGCACATCGGTATGTTATGGGTCTGTTACTGGCCTCCCAATACGTTGTTTAGTGCGGTGTGCGAAAATGGTGTATTTCACAAGCTACTAATTAATGCATAGTAGTACAATAGTGCATTCACCCGCTGATACTGACGCTGGTGTATTTCACAAGCTACTAATTAATGCATAGTAGTACAATAGTGCACAAGTTAAGCATTCATCCACTGATACTGACGTGTCTCCATATTTCCCTGTTCATATAGAGGCACACAGGTATCATAGTTAGAGACCTCGTAGGTAACACATAACCTTCTACCAGAATAGAATGTTTCTATCACTGGGTTAGCTTGTACCTGCTTCCCAAACGATCTGGTGAACGGAAATTTAAAAGTAGCCTTCGCTCAGGATGGGGTGAACGGGCATTTTAAAGATGAAAAAATCTTGCTTTCATGGATGAAGAATGTTCCAGGTACCCATTTTATGCTAGAATTTTTAAGTCCACTGTATGAAAACCAGTGAATCATGAGTATACAGTGCCAGTGAAACAAGGCCTAAATCCTTTCGACTTTCTAGGAGTATGAAAGCCCGGACATAGAATTCATTAGGCCGTGGGTGGAACATGATGCCATTGTTCAGTTTTCCAGGGACCTTCGATAAAGAACGGATGGAGTGGTTGTATTCACTCCTGTTGCGGAGTCCTTCCAGGAATGCTCGGTTGACAAGGGAATGAAATTCTAGAAAAGAGACGCTAATTTTATTGAAGCAGAACAGTTATTATGTCGATAAAAGCTCTTCGACAACCCACAACCGGGTTCGAACCCCCTCCAGGCTAATCAGCTGGGCATAGTCTCCCATTCTGCTCCAGCCTTATATTTTTAATTAACATAAACGAGGGATACGGCTTGAATTTGCTTGAGTCTTACATCACATTGTTGAGCAACGTGGTGTATTTCTTGAAAGACAGCACTCCTATTATGAACGCACAGTAAATTAGATTATGGAAATTTAATGGAGTCAGAAATTTCGAGTTTGCGAAAACATTTGTTGGCCCTCTGACCGGGTATTCTTTTGTGAAGAGCTCCAGATTCAAACTTTGCCAAAATTATCACCACTTCAAAAATGTGATTTTCCTCGTATGACCGCATAGCACACTGTCCATAGGCGCGCGGAATTATTGTAGGTTGTGTCTCGGCTACAAACCACTTCTGGTCGATCAGTTTCTATCAGTTTGATGCACGGTTCACCAAATACTTACAAAAACTCCATTCCAAGCTGTACACTTGAGTCGAATGTTGGAGCTGGACGCAAGTTTTCTTGGGCAGTTATGGCAGCCACATAAAACTATTTTGTTTTACTTGTGTATGTAGCAATCAAACAACGCCTAATCATCAGCAAGGATACAATGCTCCACCGGGATTGAATACACTAACAATGATTGCTTCGGAATTGAAAGCATTTTCATTGTCATCCTTTCAGAAAACAGCCTAAAATACAATGGCCAGTTGCCGTAGCAACCGCAATGTGTCAATAAAGAATCATAAAGGTAAACAAGCTTCATCTCGATTAACTAGATTTATTCACTTCCTCTGGCCTAAAGACACCTGCATGTTGGATTCTGGTAGTTTTCCCAAAAACCTTCCGTATTATCAGATAAACCGTTTTTGCTACTCTTGTTCCTACCTATGAATTTCTCACTGCCACAAGGTGTGTACCTCTAGGCGTTCCGTGGCGGTGCCTTGATAAGATGAAAAGAGCATTTCAAGCAAGTGACCTCATTGCCATTGATTGAGCCACATGTTACGCATGCAAGTCACCTCCTAATTAGGAGTGGCGAAAACTTAGAATTGGACCGAAAGGGGTCGGGGAGGTTAGGAGGAGTTAGGGTTCTGTTGGAACTCTTTGGCTTATAGGATGGGGTCTATTTAACTCCCCAGTTAACCGATTTCAGTGGCATCAGCTTCTATCCAGATTATCTGGCTGAGTTTTGGAGGTGTAGACAACTTGGATATTTGTGGTAGGCTATCCATAGGTTTCCCTCCCGGTCTCATTTTTCTTTCCATTTTACCACCTTTTTAAGTTACTTAATATGGCTTTACAGTATTGAAGCATCGATGTCCTCATCTGATGTTATTGTCAAGAGTCATGAAAATGGTGATTGTCGTGGGGATAACAACGATGATAATGATGGCAATCGATTACCCTTTGCATATTTGTTCTTTTCCAATTTTCACTTATATAAGCCCCAAAAGCAAACTCTTGTGGAAATGTAGTCTTCAGTATGGAAAATTTTTTTGGGAATAGTCCTAACTATCGATCGCCCAATTCAGTAAACCCATGTACAAACAAGTCATGGTGATTTCCTTTCACTTGCCTGTGTGTTCTGATTGGCTAATGCAATTCAACCTTAAAACTACTACGTTTTGATTTTTGATAGCATACTGTTCTCCAATCCTCTCTAAACTCATGGAATTTGGAAGCGCCATTTTTATCCCATGTGGTTTGTAGGGGTAAGAACGTACTGAGCACTACTAATACGACGAATACTAATGCGTGACCACAGAACGCCTAACTTATTAGGTGCCCTGCAGAAAGTTTCAGGTTCATGCATTACTGAGGAGAGCATTTTAACCGCTTCTGGGATAACTATTCGTACAAATGGCTTAATTTACAAGGCACAGACAATTTTGATTGAAAATATATAAAAGATGAAATTAGAACACCTGAGCAGAGATTGGTCGAGTTATTGGTTCCTTTCTACACATTCACGACAAGTAATACCAACTAATAAGTAGGAACAAACTAGAAAGTTCCAACGATAGCGGAATTTTCGTCACAGAACTCGCAACCACATGTTTGTGATACAGTTTGGACTAAATGGTTGGCTGAATTTCCGTAGCTGAAACTGGAGATAAAATCCGTCTAGAGAACCTTGAGAAACACTCAACCGGTGGTAAAGGAGTTTAATAATAGTTTTGCTTGACGCTATAAATGTTTTTTGACGGCTCTGATGAGAAAATGTTTTTCTGCTGATGACTTGCAAACTGAACTTTCAATAGCTTGGTTGTTCAAAGTCAGTATATAGATCATTTGATCTCTTGACCGATTCTCCCAGTCCACTAACCGAGATACAGCACGGTACTTTGTTGGGCTTGGTACAACAAGCACTGCGCAGGCATGCATTCGAAGATTTTGGCAGTCTGCTGCAGGTCTGCAGACAGGCAGATCCAGAGAAAAACGGCGAAATCCAACGGGAAGTGCTACGTCGCATTTGCAAATCGAATCGAGTGCCAGTTCCGGATGATATGCTTGACACATTGATGGATTTGTAAGTTTCCAAATGTGTTTGAATGCAAAAAGTGGGATTTTGTCTTGAAACTCGTGCCTAAATACCTAAATAACTCAGATCTTGTTTGAATAGATATGTGTGTCGATCGAGTACGGTGCACATCCGCCCAGCTTCCCCTATCATATTAACTGCTGGAAAAATCAAACGTACAGCGGAGTTGTACATTGGAACCAAATGTTACCATTTTGGCCGCTGCAACTTCTCGAGGACAATCTATTTAGAGCGAATATAACGACCACTTTGAACAGCTATCATGCGTCCCAAGGACTGTTCTATTCCTAACCGTACGAAACATCTTCTAATCAGAGTAAAACCATTGTACTGGACCACGGTTATTTGTCACGATGAGGTGAAACCTGCTTTACACTGTGTTACGGAGAAGTCATTCAATAAGCGGAATCAGAACACAAAAGTAGACTGTGGAAAAGTAGACTATGTAAAATCGGAGTTGTGAGGAGGGCTTTTTTGATTAAACGCACTGTTTAGTGAGCGGAGGATACTTTCGATTGATCCTCTTTTGATGAAGTTGTGTCCCCTGGCGAGAGTTGACCTCAGACCGTCAGAGGCATGACGGACACATGAATCAACTCTGAAAAACCCAAAAACACGATGGTTTTAGTTTTATCTTTTTGTTTTTGAGTCCAAAAGGGCGAATGATGCCGAAAATTTGAGTAACACTGCCTGATCCGTAAGAATAGATCGTAATGTTCGGTTGGTCCGAAAATAGGTTTCAGTCTTCCCGACCAAAATAATGGAGTACGACACTTTGGAGTGTGGCAACTCCTTGGCTGGACTACTTCTTTTCCCGATGATAAGTCCTTAATCACTGTCTAGTGGTCCACTAAGACTTAGTATATAGCTCCATTCATTCGTTAGTCGCGGAAACCACCCCACGCAATCACATACCGACTGGCTGATCAGTCACTAATTGTTGAACCGTTGTATTCAAGCTACTAGCCGGGAGGACGCGGGTTCGAAACTCCCGGGAGTTTCGTGCTGATTTTCAGCAGGTATGAATTAACTATACAGAGCTTTCAGACTTGTCAGCATAGATTGGCTTCACTTTCAGGACGAAATCCCAAGTGAAAGTTCCCAAATCTCTGCACAAAACCAACCCTCGTAATCCTGGTAGACAGCCATTGATTTTCGTGAAACGCCGCCCAATTACAAGCCTTTGACTGTGACTGGGTCTCGACCTGCATAGTTAGGCAGTCACTTTTTTCCCTATGGAAACTCACCAAATGGGTTCAATAGGTCGATCCCGTGTCCTTTGGAAAGCAATTTCAAACTTTCTTCCACAATAATAATGGCCCGGCGACCGGAAAGAAAAGCTTTTAAGCGGAGGAAAATCTTGGGATGAACATTTGTTGATGTACCCAGGACATCTGTCTTCCGATTTCATCTAGATCCGGTTGAAGCTGGAAACACTTAACTTTGGTAATATGCACTTGCTTCTTACAAATCAGCGATGGTTTAGGCCAGAATCCCGTAAGTTGTTCACGACCGGTGAACGTTTTGATGGTTCTATTGTTTGAAACTGGAAATAGTTACCCAAACGGCATACGGTCAGGTAAGGAGAAAGGGCATCGTGTGGCTAAGGTTGCTGAGATTTAATCACACCTAATCTACAGCTAACCAGTTAGCTTTGTGCTTGCTAGGCCAGTGACACCAACTGAGTGAAGCGCTTTTTCTCTTGAACCGTAATCGGGCTGTCTACACCTATTTTCACCATCTACAAAAATAGAACTTTTTGAACCAAACAGGGAATGAGGAAAATCATACGGAGTATTTTTTATTCATTTACTATAAAACTTCTTACGTAAACTTCACTTGAGTTCATTTCAGTTTAGTTCGATTCAGTTTATCAGCCATAAACCATGTACTAAGAATGCATTGGTTCCGGAAGGGACACCATGGTCATTTCGTTCCGGAAACTGGACAGTTTCGATACAAATCGCGTCTGATTGCCTGAGCTGTGTTTGCAATTTTCACTAACCATGGGCCAACTGAGTCACTGCGCACCCATCCAGGGACCGTCTCCTAATATAGAGCATGTACTATGGTGTACAAAACTGGCTTCCTGAAATTTTCAGACTCCCTATTCGGGATCCCCAAGTGTACTGACTAATTTAACAGGTGAATCAGTCGATCAAGCAGAAAACCGGCTAACTGATCAACCGTCTAATACGGTAACTTGGAAAAATGTCACATCCCCAGATGATCCGTGAGCGAAACTGCGGCAGCTATAACTACTACTGTATAACAAGTATGCAATATTTCACAGATGATGCTTGTTTATAAGTTACAGTGATAACTTTCAGACAAGTCCACCAGGTACCCAGTTAGTAGTATGTCACGATGTTCAGGTACTAGAGCGATGTAAACATAACAGCCACCAGCTATTCAGAAGAGCCTGTAGCACCCCTTAGTTCACAGACAGACTGCTCTCATCCACATCATACCGACCTCAGTCAGATTTAGCAGAGGGGAGTCATCGATCTTTCCACTGTCCAACTGTTGCGTATTTCAACACCATCTGTTTAAAGGTCCGCGGAAAGCTCCATACAAAATGACTTGTAACAATCTGATTTATATATTCAATTCATGTTTTAGGTACAGCTCTCGTTAATTGGGTTTATAATTATTTCTATTGCAGCTCATCAACACAAAGTGGAACCATTCGCTATGAACCTTTCATCAATCAGCTCAACTGGCGCTGCGAACACGTAGGAGCAGTTCCAAACGTGCCATGCGACTACACCGGCAATCTGGAAGTCGACTGGCTGCCCACCACCAAAGGAGAACCACCGAAGTCTCTGGGACCATCCTATACACCCCAGTCGGAGAAAATCGGTCGGGTCCGATACCAGTCGCTGTTTGACGAATTATGTGGTGTGGATAACCGATGTAGTTAACCTGAAGCATCGATCAGTCAACAAGATTCCACTACACCTTCTCTTAGGCATGGTTTACTTTGAAAAATTTGCAAAATTGGACAGAAAACTTCACCTTGCGGTCAAGTTCCGCGCACCTTTATTGGTCAGGAGTAGCACTTTTCCTGGCGCTTCTATTTTACTCATCAGGCTGAGACAACATTAGAAAAGAGATAAATGCCATTGTTAAGTAATGGACTTTGTTTTCACCAGAATTAAATGAATACAACATTTTGTCAAATGGGGTTATCTGCCACATGAAAGAAATACGACTCACAATACTGCATGCAAAAAAGACTGGGTTTTCTTTTGTATCCTAATAATCGCCTGTTGCATTTGCAAACAAATGGCCCACTGAAAAACTGGTGAAAATCTGCACCTTTCCTGATCGGTAGATCGATGGACAGTCTTCTGGTCCTCCCGGTCTGGAGAGAAACGGCTAAATGTTCTTCAGAAACACACACAACTGTGGTAATATGTCAGCGCCCAACCACTGCCTCAAGTTCAAGTTATTGAGTCAAAGTCTTTGGTTTAGGATTTCAACAGTCTTCCTATCTAGGTTCGAACGTCTAGACAGTCACCATGCTCACGTGAAGCCATGATCGTCACAACACGCCACAGCCGTCGAGTGCTGCTATCAATCGTGTCGCTCTGCTTACTCCATACGGCAGGGTTGGTAAGCAAAAGCATGCTACTGCCGAATTCCTCTTCCTACAGTTTCATTTATTTTCTCTTCTACTCTACTACACTCGAAATGGAACGCACTCTTCGCTGGTCCCAGCACGAGGACTGACCGCTTTGTCACCAAGACCTCGCGCCCAGTTGCCGCTTTTCTGACCCCGCCCTCAGTAATATCCCTAAACACCTCAAACTTGGTTTTTAAACCCCGAAGGCAGGTCTACTTTGCCCTCTCTAATGTTTGCAGACTGAACTATGGAAAAGATTATTTGAGACTTGACAGAACGGTGTGAAAAGGATGACAAAATTTGGCAGTGCGGTTTTTTGGTTCAGTCTTCCGTCCTGGATGGAGTGTCCGTAGCGCGAGTCCAACGCCTGATGGGAGACCATGCAGGAGACTGAAGCTAATGCCGGTCAGTTTTTTTTCAGTTTGCTCAAATTGGAGTTTCTGGATTTCAAGTTTCTGGTACCAAGGCCCCCCTTCATGAACTCTTTTCTCCTTTTCACTTTAGTCCTTCAAGTATGAATAAATAAACTTTGTGTTCGTATGGCAGTAGAAAGTATTGGCCAAAACGGATGCTGTTCAATCTGATGATGAACTTACGATCAGGGTCTACTTAGTACACTGAGCAAGGATTTTGAGGTAAATCAAGGTAAAATCAAGGTAACTCAAGGTTATATTGGTCTAAAAAGCATTTTGCTTTACAATGACCAAAGGATATTGGTGTGTGTGTATGTATACAGATAAACGGAATGATATGACATATATGTTCTATTGTTTGTAATCTGCATCTCAAATGTTGATGAGGGAAGTTGGGTGAGATCTTATGTATTCGTCAAGCGAATGTTTGAAAGTCTCGAGGTTACCACAATCCACAACAGATGTTGGTAGTTTGTTCCACGTGAGGGATACGCGGACTGAAAAAAAGTAGCGCCGACAGTTAATGCGGGAACATGGAATGTCAACGGCCAATGGATTCCGTCGGGTCTGTCGGGCCAAATTAACTGTGAACAAATGTTTTAAAGGGTGATTAGGGGTGTTTATTATCTTGAACATCAGGATGAGGTCTCCTCGTATACGCCGATAAGTTAAATCAAACAAATCGAGTTTACGTAGCCTTTCACTGTAGGGAACGTTTCGGAGGCCAATGACCAGCTTGGTCGCGCGGTGGTAGATACGCTCTAGCAGTTGTGTATCCTTTTGCAGCCATGGAGACCAGGCTTGGATCGCGTATTCCATTGTCGGCCGGAGATATGTGTTCATGATAATAGGGAGAATTTCAGGCGTAAAACGATAAAATATTCTCCTAAGCATCCCGAGCAGTGCCGAGGTCTTGCGATATACTGATAGACAGTGTTTACTCGGCTTCAGGTTGCTAGAAATCCAGACGCCGAGGTCTTTTTCCTCAGCCACCCATTCCAGTTCATTGGATCCCAGTTTGTATGGGAAGTGGTAGCTCTTCCCCAGATTTATGAGTTTGCATTTCTGGAAATTCAGCGGCAGCCGGTTTTGGATGGACCATTCGTCGATTCTTTGCAGATCTTGCTGTAGCGCATCACAATCAGCCTTTCCATGAATTTCAGACCAGATTTTTATGTCATCAGCAAAAAGTACGGTTTTGCACTGCAGAAGTTTCGGCAGGTCATTCATGTATACCAGGAACAAAATTGGACCAAGAACCGAACCCTGAGGGACACCACTTGTGGCGGCAATTTTATCGGAAAACGCTCCATCGACACGAACTTGGACCGAACGGTCACTCAAATAGTCTTTCAGCCAGCTCAACAGATTTCCCGTCACGCCATACATTTCAAGTTTCCGAAGAAGGATACTGTGATCGACTCGATCAAAGGCTTTGGATATATCCAAGTAACAGGCATGTACAGTAACTCCCGCATCGACTGCTCGTGTCCAGTCATCGAGTGTCACGAGGAGATTGGATAAACAAGAACGATTCTGTCGAAATCCGTGTTGTTTATCGCTCAACAAGGAGTGAATTTCAAGGTGCGATTTCAGGGCTTCTGCTATAATTCGTTCCATTACTTTTGATATTACTGGGAGAAGAGTGACAGGTCTGTAGTTAGATGCACACGTTCTGATACCTCCTTTGAATATGGGGGCTATTATCCCGCATTTCCAATCCTCTGGTACCAACCCTTCTTCCAGAGAACTAGCGAACAGTTTAGCCAGAGGATAGCTAAGTGGTTCAGCGCAGTGGCGCAGAAGCAGTGGTGTAACGCCATCCCCACCAGGTGAAGTGTGTACCTGTAAGCCGCGAAGGTGTTTGACAATGTTAGCCCGATCAATATGCACGTCCGATAAAGTTTCGTCCGTTAGTACCTCCACAGTTTGTATAGGAGCGCGGGTATCTTCAGGAGAAAACACGGAAGCATAAAATGTGGCAAGGGCATTAGCTGTTTCAAACGCATTTGCAGTCATTCCCGATTCTGTCTTTATGGCAGATATACCTGGTTTAACTTTAGCCTGCGCATTCACGAATTGATACAATAGTTTGGGGTTTTTCTCCATCCTAGTCATCAATTTGAATTGCTGTTGTAGTTTGTCTTCCTTGATTAGTGACGTGACTTTATTCCGCAACTTTCGGTACGACTCCCAGTGTTCGTCGGTCCGGTTCGTTTTATATTGAAACCAAGCGATGTTACGTTCTGTAATCCATTTTCTTGTTCGACTCCTCACTGTGAACATCTGTACGCAGGTGGCTCGAGGCACCTCTGTCGAATTGTCTGCAATCAAGGTCTGCAGCTGGGCTATGAATGATTTCCATCGCCTATTAGTATTTTCGTGTTCGTCATCCAGCATATTTAGGTCCTGGAAGGCTGAGATTATCTCCCGAAAATTGGTCTTCAGAACATATTTATGTGGGTCGCTTAAACGTACGGAGGAGCAAGTGAAATCGAACAAGAGCACGAGATGGTCGCTCTTTCCCAGTGGTGGTCTATATATGATTTGTTCAACCATAAATGGCTCACTAGTTAGTATAAGGTCAAGTAACGAAGGTTGATCTGTTCCACGAAACCTCGTACATTCGTTAACATGGTTGAATAAAGGTACCAAATCTAACAGCTCCTGAAAGTGTGCTTCAACTGAGTTGAGCGAGTATGAAGCGACGAAAAGCTGGGGAAAATTGAAATCACCCATAATGAGAATGGGAATGGAGTAGTAAGAGCATACGCGACGGATTCGGTCACATATACTGAATGTGTGAGTGTCCATTGCGGTTGGAGAGCGGTAAATGACACCAATAATGCACGCATCTATCTTGTTTGACTTCAGCATACACCAGAGGGTATCTTCAAGGATGAGATTAGCGTCAGGTATTTCAGCACATTGAAGACTACTGTCATAATATAGTGCAACTCCACCGCCATGGGTGGCTCGATCGTGTCGTATAACACTCATGTTTGTAATTTCGATTTCCTTGTCCGATATTTCCGCTTGCAACCAAGTCTCAGTCACTGCCACCAAGTGAGGTTTGTATTGGTCGCAAAAGGCGTTTAATTCTGCCACTTTACTGGGCAGACATTGGGTATTTGTATAGAGGCACTTAAGGCTAGTCGTTGTGGTTAATTCTGCTGTGCTGCAACGCACGACTCCCGGGGAGCCAGCAGTGATTCGTTTTTTGGTAAATCGTTTTTTGACCCCAATTTTTCCATCATAGTCTGAATACCAACCGTGGTTTGTTGGTATTCATCAGTGATCGTTTGCGTTTGAATAGTTCCTATTTCGCCAGTCCGAATCGTATCAGCAGATGCGTTTGAGCGTTTAGGTGAGCTTATTCTCAGTTCCCTCGGAAGCAAATTACGGTGCCTTCGCCACTGAGCTTTCACCAAGTTGGCCATTTCGGCACGAAGAAATGTCAGCTTTAAGGGTCTAGGGCCGTTTCCCATGTATTTTTCCGATTTAGGAATTCTGAAAGCATCAACTACTGCCACCTCTTCCGTTTCGAGCGTACTACTCAGAAACTTCCACTGTAGAACGTCATGTGAAATGCGTGCCGTTTTATCGGAGGCATCGTCAATCTCAGGGACACCCAGAATGATCAAGCTCCGATCATCAGCACGATTATTAGTCGCTTGATTTTCGACATTACGAGATCGTTCTGTCCATGGTACGTCAGCATGAACTCGCGCGCTATTTTCCGAATCGCTCTGGAGTCGAAATGCTGACAACAGTATATTTTCTAATTCTTTTTCTGTCTTAACAGTTACTCTGAGAAGTCTGGGTTTGTCTTGATGATGCGATTTCGGCGGTCGGCTCAGGCGAGTCAGCGAGACTGGTTCGATGGGATCAAGCTGTATTCGATTGCACAGCTTTAACCATTCTTCCATATCGTGCTTATGCTTAGCCGATAATAGTGAGTCGCTTGGCTCCTTGATATTAGTGCATATTACGCTTAGTTTAGGTTTCGGTTTCAGTTTCCTAGTATGGTCGGTAACCTTCGATGCGGGGCAACCGACAATTCCCATGTTCTTGTGTATACTGTTGAGTTCCGCTGGCTCAGGTTCAGTAACATTCGTCTTTTTTGTCTTGGTGCTGTTTGGTCTGGTTTCCTCAACAGTCCTCGGAGTGCAAGCAGCGTCTGCCATTGACCTAGATGCCTTCGCTGATTTTACATCAGTTGTCTGGTTAACTAGGGGCAGCAGAAGCTCTCTGAGTTCTTGTATTTGTTTTTCCAAATGGGATATTTTATCCTCCGTCTCTCTGTTTGCTCTAAAGCCCATAGTGGTCGGTATATCTACTTGGCCAGTATCGACATTGGAGGCTCTACACATAGTGCATCGATAACAGATAGATGGATGCTTTGGGTCATTAATCATCTGAGCGCTCAGATCAGTCAGGGTATTGTCACAACGCGCATGCACCAGTAATTTGCAAAATGCACAATTAACTACGGTGGTGTCTCGACTTACCGGGCCTTGGCAAACAGCGCAATGACCGTGAGGTGATTGTTCCATGATTGGATGAGTCAAGGTCTCGGTCGGGTTTGGCACGGCCGTGTTCTTTGTGTGCGCAGCGGATCGCGTTGCGCGTTTGCACGTGTTGGTCGGTTGGTTCGACGTATGCGTGGGTGTGGACGCTTTGCGGTTCTTTGTCGGCCTGGTCGCCTGCATCGGGTGAGCGGATCGTGTGTGTGGTTTCGACACTGGCAGGGCAAGTGGGGTAGCACGTAGGACGAATTTCGGCGGATGTATGAAAGCTGGTAGCTGGCGTAATACTTCACCGATCTTAGTGAAATTTGCTGCACTAGATAGAACTCGTCGTCAGCTTTCT